AATGTGACCATTTTATTTAAGAAGTGGCGAAGATGCAGAACAATATCTGGATATTCGTCAATATTTTACTGATTCTAAATGGAAGGCATTGAATCTTTGGGAGAAGGAAATGTACCGAGAACAGAAAAAGAAGTATGAGTACATGAAGATTGTGAAAATGCCTATTCCAGAGCCTGAATTTATGCAACCGCCTCCAGAAAAGCCTAAGAAGAAAAAAAAAACAGTAAAGAAAGACCTTCCAAGCGTTGCTTCAAGTAGGCATTTTTTTCAGTGGAATCAAAATATGTCTTCATTAATATTTTTTTAAAAGTAAACAACAACATTCCTTTCTGATTATGTGGAAAACAGGGACATCAGATCGGTTGAAAGGCATTGTCCGTGATTATGCTGATGGAGAAGAGGACACTTCTTGTGAGATAGACAATCCAGAAGAAGAAGATGATGAGTTAGACAATCCAGAAGAAGAAGATGATGAGTTAGACAATCCAGAAGGGAATATTGTGGCAGACAATCAAGAAGGAGATGTTGTGAATTCAAATGAAGAAGGCAACTCACTGGTGATTATTTTATAAGCCTACTCCGTAGTTATTCTTAAACAAACATTAACATTTGTATATAGACATGGGTTGGGATGGCAAAACATTCAGTATTCTGAGGACTCGAATTGATTTCTAATATTTTTGTGCAGCAAGAATCAGATGATAAAGAAAACCAACAGCCAAAGAAGCCTGAGACCAATAAAAATCAGGTAATTAAAGGAAATTACCATTTTGGCACAAACATTTATAGTTGCTCTTTTCTCAAAAAGCTTTTTTTTTTTTTTTTTTCAGACTTTTGGTTTAATAGGGACTAACATTGGGTACCCCTCTCCACTACCAACCTTCAGTGCTGCAGCAATAAGACAGCTCAAGATGCGAGCAAATAAAAGGAAAATGAAGACTATCAATGAGGAATGCAGAGTATTTGTAAAAAATCTAATTGGCAGTGAGTATCCTTCAAAAAAATCATATGATAACTTTTGTCGAACATTAGTAGAGAAGTATCCAAAAATGAAGGATGAAGAAGGAACAGATTTAATGTATTGGGTACGTGAAGCAATGAATTTTTTGTTATCTTACTAGACCAGCAATAGTCAAACATCCATTAACTCATGACATATTACTTTCAGGCAACATTTAAAATGTCCTTCAGATCCTCATTTAGAGGAACGAGAAGTTATGAAAAGAATGGACATAAACGCAAAGGGAAGAAATCAAAAAAGAAGTCAATAACACCAGACAACAATATGTCAATTGAAGAGGAGGAACGATGGTAAATACAAATATATGCATGCATGCATATATAAACTTGATTACATAGGAAACTTTACTATCACTAACTTACTTTTAAATTGTAGTGACAATTCCAATGAGGCATCAGCAGAAGAAGCAGCCGACTCTCAAGTTAGGAGTTCCAAAGAGGGCCTCAGTCGGTCCACTTTGCAGCGGCTTCTTAAAGCCTCCATTAATTGTAGGAAGTTAAAGCGAGCTGGCAATGGGCCCTCACAAAACTTGGAGATGTATCCTCATCTGAAAATACCAGAAATGGTAGGACATAAAAATTTAATCAACATTAGTTTGAAATGTGATAGAATGATAGAATTTAACATTAATAACACATTTTAACTGCTTCAGATGATTTGTGATTACCTCCTCCAGGAGGGCCTGAGTATTGATGAAATTCAGGTAAAATTCAAAGATAATGTGGATAAGATAGGAATGCATTACCAGATTGTGCCATCTTCTGAGGTGGCTATACTTGAGATTGTATATAAGGTGCACACACACTTCTTATCAAGAGAGGTGCAGAAAGGTTCGCAGCCAGTGTTTATTTTAAGAAATGTAAGGTACCTGTATGAATTAAACAAATAATTAACTAATATATACTTATTGTGAAAGAAAAATCAAACTGAGAACATTTATGTTATGATCAGGAAAGTGAAGGAACTCCCCACCTATCATCTACTAGTATTCAGGCCCCTTTCCTCGTTGCTCTCACAAAGCAAGACTTTTGCACTGGTGAGCAATTGTTAAGAAGTGCAAGCATACTTATGGAGAACAGGCTTGTCAACTCCCTTGAAAAACCAAAAGCAGAACAAGCCGTACTTCTCCTAGTTGCTGCTTATTACACCCTGAATGCTGATTATCCAAAGGCTTACCTGGACTTCATGAAAGCACTTGAAAGGATGCTGATAGGGAGCGTTCCTGCTAGTCACTCAAGAAATCGAAAGGCATCGTGGAACAAATTTGTTGCCATGCTAAAATGATAATTTTTAACTTTTTTTAATAACATGAACTGAAATATATTTTTATTGATCATCGTTTAACTCAAGTAGTTCAGTCAAAAATGCCTTATGTTTATCAGGTGAGTAATCACTTGATAATACAAGGTATTCTAACCTGAACTACTTAATGTTTGACTACCATGTTTTTGCTGAGTTTGTTGAGTTGTTTCTTTTTGTTGTTGATTATACGAACAAATACCTGTACACTATTGTTTTAAAGTATTAGACAAGTTAAATCTTTTCTGCTTCCTTATTATTAATATAAATGTTGTCGTGAATTTCCTTGGTAACCAGAGGCAGAGACCTAGACCTATAGTCTGATCAGCCTCAGCTGTCCCCCTCTCTCCTACAAGTACGTTCTTATGCTGCTCGCACTATACACAGTGGCTATTCACACCACAAACATAAACCTGAATTTATAGTGCGACTAGTCTCTGCTGATCTGGCTATACCGGTGCCAAGAATAAATCCAAGATATCGAAAGTTAACTCGTTAACTCACGACTCACGGCAAAAAATATTTAAAAGGCAGTGAAGTGCGATGTTTTGGAGTTAGCCATTCGGGTACAAGTTTCAATACGACATAAATTTATCGTTTTGAGTGATTTTTAATGATAATTGACCCTTGTTGTGGACCCTTTTACCTCAAGTCATAAACAGGGTTAAACAATCCTAAAAACGAGACTTGTCAGTTCATAGATTTCATAGTATATCCTTTGACATCCGAACGTCTTAACCTAGGCCTACACCATGGAGTACTGATGAACTGTCCATGCAAAGTAAGTGTATTCAACCCCTCTCTTTCACATTGTTTGATAGTTACAAGAGTATAATTTCACAATTTTTCACAAACATTGAAATGTTATATTACTGCAAGCAAGCCACTAAAGCCACCATGGAATGAAAGGTGAAATAGAGTGATTTTTAATTGAGATAAATAGCGTCTGTACCCTAGCAGTGATCAACCATTAGTAAGGCCAGAGAAAAGATTCATGAATTTTTTTATTAGCTATTGTGACCTATTAATTTACAATTAATCAAAGTGTTGTATCTTTTATTGCGTCATATCGTAAAAGATTCGCAACTAATTTAACATTTCACATTAAAGGCGCTATTTTTTAAAGGCGCTAAATGTCAAAGGCGGGAACTTCTGAGCAACCCCAACAATTTAGCGCCTTTAGAGAGGCATCAAACTGTAGCGCCTTTAGTAAGGCGGGGAATTGGAACCCCGCCTTTCAAAGGCGTTAGTTAACGCCTTTGTTTTACCAGTGCCTCTGTGCTAATGTAGCGGCACATTGATGGTGCTCGGCGACCCGTAACCCGTAGAGCACTTGGGCCATGACAGCGGCGGTGTCTAGTTTCATTCTTTCTCTTCCACCTGTCAGCCGCCCGACCGAGCCGCACGCTGCACCGCAACGCGCGCACTTGGGGGAAATAACGATTAGGAGCGATTGTCGACCGATCGATCGATCGATCGGTCGATCCACAGACGATCTGCTCCTCCACTGATGAGTGACGGTGCAAAATCGGCACCCTCTTGCCGCGAGAGCTGAAGAGAGCTGAGGCCGGCGCGCGCGGGGTGCAGGGCAGGAGGGTAGGGTAGTGGGTTGATGTGTCAGCGGGGGCCGGGCGATAGACCTGCGCGGCGGGAAAGCGTTTCCGGCAACGCGACGGCCCGACCAGCCTCGGCGCACACGGGGGCTGCATATCAATGGCCGACACGGCGGCCGTACACGCCGAGGTGCCGCATGTGACACGCCCTCCACAGGGGCCGCCCGAGCGCACGCGCGCGCCAAAAAACACAACACACACGTACACGGGGCGCACGTACGAGGTGTGTGTGTGTGTGTGTGTGTATGTGTATGTGTGAGTGTTGGCCTGTGCGTGCGCCGGGAGTCAAAACCAAACTCATATCGGGGGTCTGTCATCAGTATGGAATCAGGGGAGGAGGCCAGGCCAGAAGAGAGAGTGAGAGCGAGAGAGTGAAATGTGCGCCGTACGTATAAGTAAGAGTAGGGGGGGGGGGGTGTTTTAGAAAATAAGCCGGAGAATAGGGGAGAGACAGGGAGGAAATGGGAGTCGGGAGCTTACCTTACCATATATACTGGCCTCGATACTGGCGATTCCAGTGATCAGAGGGCAAGCATGCTTTAAACTCCTTTGGCACGAGCACGCGTGCTGAAAGGACAGGCAGCCCCTGTGTGCCCTATGTAATGAAGGAACGTGTAAAAATTTGAATATGTAAGACATTCGAGGATACGTTAATGGGCTGGATCATTTTTTATTCATTACGTCAAAGATTATTGGCTGAACACGTGTTTTCAGGTATCACTTGAACTTGAAGTAACAGTGCAGAAACTTCCCTAGGAAAAATGATCTCGACAGTAGCAGGCAGGGGCTTCTGTTACCGGCGACGGAAGAGGCCAAAGGAGTCAAGTTTGGCAAACAATGAATCACACTTAATAATTCAGGCAATTTCGAGTGTGCCATGTATACTTTATCCAAGGAGACACCGGAAGAGGGGGTGGGGGATGAGGTCGATTGCAAGAGAGCGCGCACTTGGATCACAGTGGGGTCGGAGGGTGGCAGAGAGAGAGCTGGGGAGGGAGCCTGCCCCCGCTGGAGCGGGCCGGGAGCGTACTACTGGAGGGGGCTGTGGCCGTTCACCCCCGCCTAGGCTGCCCGGGGCACGGCGCGGCGTGGCGCGGCGAGGCGCGTCCCGGGTCGATAGCATCTGGCACAACCCCGAGGGTTTGCTCCCGTTCCATCCCTGTACCGGCCCTTGGGCACCACCCCTCGCAACGGGCTAGCGCACAGGTGGCGGTCCCGGAAAACAGGGGCGTCGGCCGCAGAGTGCATGAGCTGGAATCTTGCATCTCATTTAGAACGGAACGCCCGTCGCTTTGGCTCTTGTGTGTGGATCCACTTATTTGGGCGCGGTGCAGCGCAGAGAAGCGATAGGCCATGCAAGCACAAGAAGGCTTTGCCAAGCCGACGCGACGCCACACAGCGCCGCACAGCGCGCCCGCCAGGATACTTTCACTGGTTGGCCAACAGACCCGGTTGGTGCGGGTGCGCGGGAAACCTGCACCCATATACTTCTGCCTACTAATCATTACCGCTAAGCACCCGTAACAATACCGTCCCTGTATATTTTTGCGTTCTAATGTTAACAGAACCAACAAAAATAAAAATAAAAAATAAATAAGTGAAGTGCAAACCCTTTATATGGTATTTTTTTTTGCGTTCTAATTATAATTCACTTATAAGTATTTCAGAGACATCGCATTCTAACTGATGAAAGTACGTTTGCAACAGGCGTGAACATGAAATAAGTAACAAGTGTTGATCATCATATGTTGCTCACTTTTAATTGTTTGACAGACTGGATAATGTGGGATCGTCCAGAAAGAACGAGGGTTTTTTCTTTCAGAATCATTCGACAAAATACAGAAGCTTGCCGCCTGCGAGATTCAAGGTAGGCCACCCCGCACTACACACAGGCACTGCAGGCAGGACATTGCCTACCTACCACGCGCTTCGAGACCTTGCAGGGGCTGAACTTGGCAGGTTCGTAACGACGAATGACAGGACGGACCTATTTTCTGGATAATGCCTATTTAAATATTGAAAATCGTTGACACACTTTTGTGTTAAAATTTTCAGTTGAACTATTCAAAGTGTGCACGCACAATACCTTGCAAAGCAATACTTATTGAAGTGCTAGGGAGGATTTTGATCCTTTGAAACTACGACGCATTTGTTTTGCAATTAAAAAGCGACGCTTTACAATTGCGAAGCAATGCCAAATGTTTTACATGCTGCAAAGGACCGCTTTTCGTGCCTCCAGCCAAAAATTGAGCGGTCTCGAACGGGGCGGGACGCGGGGCGAGACGGAGACGGGCGACAGGCCGAGCCAGAACGAGGACAGAAATGAAGCGCATCGGGCAGCGAAATGTTTCCGTCGATGACACGCGCAGTCCGCCGCGGCCTCGGTTGTGCAATAGGTGCGACGAGAAGGGGAGCGCTGGACCCGGGAGGACTGGGGCCGGGCCAGGCGCCACGGAACCTTATCCGTCAGCGGGTCCTCGCGGAGCTCGAGCTCGCCTCATTCGCCCGCCCGAGAGGTCACCAGTGGTTGGTACTGTGTGCACCCGCCACCCCCCTTCGCCTCACATCTTACTCAACATGAAAAGAGCATTTTTAAAGTGCCCTAGAGAGTGCACTGGTAAAACGACAAGTGTGACATACAGGATGGTCCACAGACCCCTTCCTTTATTTTGCTTATACTGTACCGGATGCAGGCGTGCGGCCGGGTTGCATACTCGTACGGGGCCGTAAGGCGCAACGGCGAGCTAGGGTAGGCAAGCCCGGGCAAGCCCGCCCGCACGATTGCATGCGGTACAGTATAAGCACTGGGAAGGGGTCTGGGGACCACCCTGTATGTTAAGTTAGTTTTTCAGTGACATGAAAACTAGAGAGAAGGAAGGGAAACTAGATTTTATACTCTTCAAACGTTGATATTAACCATTCACCCATAATTATAAATAAAACTATGGCCCGCAGATAAAACGTCACCTGGAGGAGTTATTTCTCCGGCAAGCAAAATGCTCCAGTTATGATTGAAATTTTGCTCTTAAATATGACAAGGGGATTTGTGTCTTGATCCAAGATCGGTGTAACTGTTTAACTAGGAGCAAGTCGGAGCAAATTCACACCTACGAAGAAATGTTCTCATTTCCAGCAAAGTGCACTAACGCCTAATCATGAACTTGGATCGAATTTTTTCATACCGGCGTATTAAAAAATGCGTAAGCAGAGCACGTACACAGAATTCAGTAAGCTACGAATAAAAATGTTCATAAGCTTTTAGTGTGCGCGGGGGAGAAAGAAATCGTCAACCACGCGGGCGCTCGTTGGTGCCCGTTGGTGCCCGTTGGCGGCCTATGGCCGGCCCGCGGCCTGTTCCGCTGTTCCGACCCGCCAGGGCCAGGTTGGCAGCACCGCGGAGCGGACGCGCTCGGGACGTGCAGTTCAGGCTGGTCGGGTTGGCAGCGCCGGCGCCGCGGTAATGGCGAGATTAATCGACGCGTCATGTTAATTAGGCAGGTGAGGGACGGGTGTCTGAACGGCCGACGCTTCAAATTAATTGAGCAATGGAATGAGTGAGGATTGATTCAGATTGGTGCAGCGAGGGGGGAGGTGGG